ATTCCACCATTTCTATACTATATTCTCCTTTTTTTCCCTTCAGAAAGAGATTCCCGAATCTAATCTCCTTTGTTTAGCTTTCTCCCTGACCATGACCAGTAACAATTTGTAACCAACTTCCCTAAATGATGACAAATATCCATAACTAGATTAATAGTTGCTTTTTACTTAAAAGTTGATTCAATAATATGCCCTTTTATCATATCATCCCTATATTCCCCCTTTTCTTTTCAGAAAGAGATCCTTGAATCCAACTTCCCTTGCTTAGTTTCCTCCCTTAACCATGACCAGTAACAACTTGTAATTAATTCCCCTAAACAATGACAAACATTCACAATCCACAGAATGACCAAAACCACCCACCCCACCTTTTGGGAATTTGGGTGTTGTGTTCTCTAGACTGCCATTGTCTGGGGGCAATAGGATCTTTGGGGGATCCTGAGAAAATTAGGATAATGGTCAAGTTCTGGGAGAGCTAGCCTTAATACTTGTTGTCCAGTCTCTGTGCAATGAGAAAGGACAAGGCTAGAATAGTCTGTAAGGCTGGACAGTGTTAGCCAGCAGACTTGAAGCTTTTCTGGCTGCAGAAGTCTGAGGAAACTGTAACAGAGGTACCCTGGGAGGATGGATCACATGGGCCACCTGTTTTCATTGGTGTCTGGTTCCCTTGCTCTGAAAACACACAGCTTTCAAAGATAACATATATATCTGTATTAATACAAGTATGGACTGTGCATTATATACAAGCCAGCCAAAGATAATTTTTTTTTATGTTTGAGCAGGTAAAAATACATCACTTGTCTTGTAGTTTTTCTAGGTTTATTTCCTTAAATCTGAAGCCAGAATTTTCAGGGGGTCTCCCCAAATCAAGCCTGATCTCTTTCAACCTTGAGTAAATCCGTAGCCTTTCATTTTTTTGTGAAAATAAAAGCATAACCTCTTCCCCAAAGCAATACATTTCCAACTTCTATTTGGATGTCAAGACATCCCTAAAGTATCTAGGCTGGTTTAATTCAGCAGTCCCTTCCATAAGCTGATGTCTTTCATCATCTGTTGTTCTCTGTTCATTAGCATTCAAAACATTCAAAATTAACAAGACACCATGTAGGATCCAAACTGTGTTATAATATATTCCATCCTTATTTGGCTATTTTTAAAAAATATTAATTTAGTCTCTTTTTAAGACTTTATTACTTTTAAACTATTTTTTTCTACAACTGACTATACCCATTTTGTTTTCTTTCTGCAGCATCTAAGGACATTTTTAAATATACTTTACCTTTTTAGAGGGTTTCTGTGTCTGGATCTGGTTTTACTAAGCATCTGCAGCATTTTCCAACTAGGTGAGACTAATCAACCTGCCATATCAGGCACTGCTTCATGGATCAGCTTAGCACATGGCACTGGCAGCTGGCTCCAGCCTGCAGGCAGCAGCCAGTGGCTGTGCCTCTGTATGCCACATACTGGCACACCTAAGAGACTATAGGACTAGAAAGCCACATCCAGCCACCTGTCCAGAACTTCTTTTTAACTTTCTCAGGCCCTGTGTTTGGATATTTGAGCCCCAACATTGGATGTCATATGTTGTCAGATTTTTCTTTGGACTGCCAGCTCACAAAAAACAACATGGAGACTTACCATTAATTATGAAAGCTCAGCCTATAGCTTAGGCCAGTTCCTAGCTAGTCATTATAATTTACACTAACCCATTTCTATTAGTCTATGTTCTGCTCCGTGGTTCATGGCTGCTACCTCTCCTCCAGCATGTCTTGTTTGTTTCCCATCTCCTGGCATTTCTCCCACACCTAGATTCCTCTCCCCTTCTTCTCTCTCTGCATGGAAGTGCCACCTAAGCGCTTTCTGCTTAGTTATTGGCCATTCAGCTCTTTATTAAAGCAATCAGAAGGCACCTTAGCAAAGACACATCTTCACAGAGTACAAAAAGATAACTCCACAACACGATCATCCTCGGTTTGCATCATTTCTTGTTGAAGAGGGCTGTGGTCACTGGGTGTGGTAGTTTTCTGGGTGTGTCATATTGTGAGTGATGTGATTTTCTTTCAACTATTTAAAACATGGGAGAAGATGTGCTTCTGGATAGATGAATACAATTCTTTTTTCTGGGTAACTGCCATAAGGATATCTTGGCTAAACATACTATTGTTTATTAATACAATTATTCCCAATCAAATTATTCCTCTTTAAGTGATATTTCAAAAATGTTCCAAGCCATGAAATGGACTTTAGAATCAATAATTCTCTTTGTCTTAGATAGATAGACAGACAGACAGATGTTTATCTCTTTGTCTTGATATTTGCTCATGTTTTCTTTGAACTACCAAGAAAGATTTTCTGATGGATTCTTTCCTGTGCTCCTGTGAAAAGAAGGAAGGTCGGTGTTGTGTGGCTTACTATTTGTCAGTAGGGTGATTGTCCAACCATTTCATGGCATTTTCAATTTTACTTTTGCTTTTCAGATTCCAGGTAAGTCATGATGGAATTTTACTGTGATACCCCAGAGCAATCCTGCTTATTTCAGGCTGTTGACAGGAACTGGGGGATACTGTGTTTGAGAAGACTGAAGAACTGTAGAAAACATTTACGCATTTTTAAAATCCTGGGGTTGGGGACACATCTCTGTTTGTAGAGTGCTTCCTATGGAGCATGAGGACTTGATTTTGGTCCTCAGCATCCGTGTAAAAAGCCAAGTGTGGCAATACTTGTTTGTAATGCCAACACTAAGGAAGCAGAGACGGGCATCCTGGGGCTCACTTGCGAGCCAGCCTTCCCTAATCAGCAAACCGATTCAGTGAGAGATCTTGTCCTAAAAAGTAATTTAGAGAGTAATTAAGGAAGACTTATGAATTTAACTTCTGACCCATATATATGTGCACATACATGTACAAATGTACCTTTGCACAGGTGTATGCTGGTTCACACACACACACACAAACACACACACACACACACACACACACACACACACAAAGAATACAAAGAATTTTTTTTTTTAATTTTAAAGGCTGAGTTTACTTGATAGTATATGTTGTATAGTACTTACAGTTCTTATATGGCTGTAGTATACTTAATATTTTATGTTTATCATTATTGGCATTATAACATAAAATACAATATCTAGCAGCTTTAGTATTTTTGTATGTGTATGGATAGATAAGCTCTGTATGCTCATAGGTGCATGGAATTTTGTGCATATTTACAGTATGTGGAAGAACATTAAGTCCACACTGAATGTAAGACCTTGAAGTGGGAAGTTGCTTGTCAAGGTTGTTTCCTGATACAACTGAACTGCCCGGAACTGACCCTGTTGTCTTTGTATGTAGCTTATGAAAGCTGATTGTCTGAAACAAAAAAATTAGACACAGATTTCTTTCAATTTTTGCCTTTTATTCTTGGTTTTTCCTTTTCATTATCTCTTCAAAGTTCATTTATATGAATCCTTTCCCACTGTTTTTGTTGGTGTCTCCTTCAAAGCTGGCCTTGGAGCATTCTGATGAATGCTTTTGATTCACCAGAGAAGTATCTGAGATTCCTCACAAATACAATGTCCTTTGGGGTCAAGCCTTTATTTCTGTCTGAACATTCCTCAGTCAGTTACAGTCATCCCGTCCTTAGAAACAGGGAAGGCAGAAAGCCAACAAGTGAAAGAAAAGCAAGAGCCCGCCAGTCCAAACCAGTGGACTAGAGAAGAGTAACCGGAACACCAGCCAAATGCTGAGGCCATCTTTATTTCTGATATTGTTACATCAGCTTAGCCTCTTTGCCTTGTTTATCATGTTCCTTTCCTACTCCCACACTGCAAGGGCAACTATGCATTGATCATCTTTATATTCCCCAAGACAGAATCCGCATATTTGGAGACAAATGAATATTTGTTGAATGAAAAATAATTAAGATGACTTTGAAACACATTATCTGAGAAAGAGAGAACAAAAAACAGATTAGGCCCTGTTTCAGTTTAACTGATGCCGATAAAAAACTGTCATGCAGCTTTGAAATGACTTGAAACACTCACATAGTTTGTTACTTGTTATGTCTGTTTTGGAGAGCATTTTGGAGAGCCCCCTTTGAGGGGGCTGGGATCTCATGGGACCCAATATGTATTAACTTGGAGTGAACAACAGGAATGTTATAGACCTTCAGGAATGTTATATCAAACTTTATCAGACACCCAATTAAAGAGCTACTTACCTTAGCTACTAGACTTTAAAAATACAAGTGAACTTGAGTTTGATTGACACTTTGTGAGCTTAGTCTGTGGCAGATGCTCTTTACAAGATCAGGAACATATGGTATAATGTGTCACAGCAGAGGCTTCTCTGAGTACTGAGAGTTCAGTTTGAGTCAGGGCACAACCCTCATGCCTGGAGGGACCTATGAGTCATCACAGATGTCCTCAAAAGCATTGTTTTAGGGAGACATCAAACTTCAGTTAGACTTTATTTTCTACAGAACTTTAACCAACTCACTGGACTTTAATAAAATTATATTAATATAGTCTATTCCTTGTGAGGTTTGGTCTCAGTATTCTTTCTCTTTTAATCATTGTGAAGCCAAGAACCATTCTGTTTGCATGACAATGAATGATATGATTCATGGAATCATACTTTGATCATCTTTTTATTTCTACCACATTCACATTAAAAGGAACAGAGGAACTTCATATCCGGAGAGGAAATAGTCATTTAGTTCACATCTCAGCTGATGGTTGAGATATGGGAGGAGGAGGGCTGACATGAGCATTTATATGATGTCAATCAACTACGTGCTGGCATATGCTTCGCACATATCTGATCTTCAGGTTACGTAGTATTATCTTCTTATATACTTAGTATTTGCTTTGAGAATTGGAAGGATAATGTGAGGAGCTATGGCTTGGTAGGTTTCCGTACCAATGAGCTTCCGTACATTGGTTGCGTTTCTCACTCCCCTGCCCCCTACCCAAGAAGCTCCTGTCTTAGTCAGTTTGGGTTGCTATCACAGACTACCATAGGCTTGATGTCTTATCAATGCCAGCATTTATTTATCACAGTTACAGAGGCTGGGATCCTGGGGTTGAGGTGCCAACATCCCGGGGTACAGGTGACAGCATCCTTCTGTGTTGTAGCCTGCAGACTTTTCCTTGCATCCTCACACAGTCGATGGAGGGTGTCTCTTGCTTCAGAACACAAACATACTCATGAGGGCTCTACCTCACGACCTAAAGGTCAGAGCACTCTTGATGTTATACTTTCAGATTTTCAACTTGCTAATTTGTAAAGGTGATAAGAGATACAAACATTTGGTCAGTAATGGTACCCCAGTACTAAAATCTTGCCAAATAGAAACATGAAATAATATCATATAACAGGGGACACACAGAGAGAACAGTACAAGGAAGCCATAGGCTGTAGCTAGAATTGAGGAAATCCTGTACGGTAAATAGTCCTGTTTGTTCAGCTCATACATAACATAAAAATGAATAGCGACTATTATGTAATATCAGACTTGAGAGACACATTAACCAGGTGCAGCCCATGGACCTTGGATCCTGACTCAAGAGCCAGCTGCAAAAAGAAGAAAGTGAGAAAACTGGAACCCGAAGAGGAAGTGGCATCAGGGACTGTTGTGGGTCATTTCAGTGTACAGCTGTGGCTTCAGTACTGTTTAAAATATTTAGGTGTCAGAAATATATGCTTAGTCATGAATGAAAAAAAATATACAGGGCTTAAACTAATTTGTTTACTTACTCTGTGTGATTTTAAGTTTTTGTTTGGTTTAAGAGCTATAGTAGCTAGATTCCACCTCTCAGTTCTGTTCTGGAGCCTGAGGTAGTAACAAAGTTACCCATCTGTATTTAATATGAGTCTATGTGTAAACAAAATCAAATTTCCTTAAAAGCAAAGATATATACCCTTGAGCTCAGTGTGCTTGAAGTGTGCTCCCTTCCTGAGACCCAACTGCTGTTAGAGGGTCAGAATGTCCCACCTCAATGTCAAGCTCCAAGGTCATCTGAAATGCCTCCTTTGGAGGCATCTCTTTAAAGCCAAGCAAGCAAGGCCACCTCTGTTCTAAAGTGAGGTCAGAGGCTCTTGTGAGCGCAGAACCCACTGGCTAAAGGAAAACAATTTTCAAAGAGTTTTGAAGGACCTTCCTTGAGTCTGTGCACGAGGAATGTAGGGATTCATGGTTCATTTACCTAGATGCTGCCTGCAGATCCTGGGAAACCTCATTTCTTTCCCAATACTGCGTTGGAGGAGAGCCTGGAGCGAGACAGGAAATAAATGGCTCATATCCTGCTGTCTGTTCCTCACTGAAGGCCAGCAGGCTAGCTCCTTTGTGGGGTTTAAAAGACGATGGGGGTTGAGGGCAGCAGCGAGACAGAGCTTTCTAAGGCTGCCACGTTTTAAGCAGGAAGCAGAAACTATTTTTACAAAGTGAAGCAAGGGAGCATGCAGTTTAGATACTAAAACAACCATCAGGCTCTTTTAACCTCTTCGCTTCTCAGTCTATAGCATGCACACACCTATTTTGAGAATGCTGCTAAAATGTGTACGGTAGGGCTGGTGATGGCTCGGCAGAGAAAAGACCCGTGCTGCCCAGACTAAGGACTTCAGTTGGATTCCTGGGACCCACATGATTGAAAGAGAGAATCAACTACAGTAGGTTGTTCTTTGACCTCCACAAATGCCCTGTGGCCTGTGAGTGAGCACACACACACACACACACACACACACACACACACACTCATACACTCACACATACACACATATCCGCAAAGACACACACATCCACACACACAACATAAATAAATAAATGTTTTAAAAGGTATATATCTATATCTATATCTATATCTATATCTATATCTATATCTATATCTATATATATATCCCAGCGGGTCTGGGATAAGGCCAGAAATTCTGTCCTTCTAACAGACTTGTAGAAGGTACTCATGGCTAGTCCATAGTTCGTGCTTTAAGTTTGAGAATGCATGGTCACTTTTCAACATAGAATCGAATTTCTTTTACTGGCTCCCTCTTTAGGGTGGGCCTTTTATTTTTATATCATTTGTGAAAAATACATCTGTTAATCTTCATGAGTTCAATCTGAGAATAAATCTAATGACATGAGAAATGCACAGTTACTGTTCAGAATCACATGGCGAGCCTGCAGAGGGGACTGGAAGAGGAAGGGCAGCCAGAGCTGCAAAAGAACACTTACTAAACTCCGGGCTGTTTTTCATGTTTTCTCATCGAGGCTTTCAGGTGTTATTAGGTGAGGGCTATTGTCTCTATATAAGAAAGACCCAGAAGTGCCAGCTTAGAGCCATTCAAAGCAAAATGGGAAGCTCTGCAGAAAACATGACCCAGTTTCCTCAAAAATAAATGCCGGGGAGAAAAGGAGGAGGGGCAGGGACTCTCACAGAAGAAGAGATCTAAGGGCCATAGGAAACAATACAGCATGGGCATCTTGCTGGAAATCTGATTTGGTTGAATAAAACCTCTAACAGACGTTTTGGGAAGCACTTGGTGACCTGGAACATAGGTATTAAATAACTGTTATCATTTGTGCTACATGGCCTCATGTTATTTCAGGCCTGTTACAAACAGAGCCATTATCTGTAGAGATCAAACAGTAAAATTATATCCTGTTTTCATTTGCCTGAAAGCACACATACAAACACACACACACACACACACACACACACACATACACACACACTTACATACACACATATGCACACATACATGCACACACACACACATACTTACATGCACACCCCCACACACTTACACATACACATATGCACACACACACACACTTACACATACACATATGCACACACACACATGCACACACACGCACACAGCACACACATACACGCACACATGCACACACACACACACTTACATGCGCGCGCACACACACACACAGATGAAAGGGGAGGAGAAACAGATGAAACAAGAATGGCAGAAGGCTAAGAATCATCATTCCTAAGCCTCCATGTTTTAAAGCTTTCATTTTAAAATTAAAAATTTTTTATAATATTTTATTCTAGCAGCAAAGGACCCAGTACATGTTGCACAGCTTTTCCTAACACAACATCCTATGTCACTGAGACACAAAGATCAACACTAGGAAATTAGCAATAATATAACATGATTAAGTGAATCAGAAATTCCATTCTAATTCTACTCACTCCCCCAACTAATGTCATTTTTCTTTTCTAGGAAACAATGGAGGGTCTCATCTTGTTTGCTTTCATATCTTCTTATTCTCTTCTGGTCTATGACTCCCAGTGGCCCACCCCCATTCTTCATGCTCTTGACAAATTAGGAGCATGCTCATTTGTTACAGTGTAGAAAGTCCTTCAGTTTGTGGTTGACCTACGTTGTCATGATCCAAACTGAGGTCTACTTACATTTTCATTATGATGTTCCCTCTACAGGTATGTTTGACATTTTCCATAGTAGAAGTCAAAATGACTTTGAAGTTCAGGCATTGTGACGTTACATGACTTCTTTATGTTGAATAATTCTTACATGAGAAGAGCTGATATTAAAACCCAGACTCATCCATTAGCATCCTTTATATTACAGAAAATGTGATGTAAAACAATTTTTAGATGGGAGGCTGGTCACATAGGGGATCAGAGCTCTGTAGACATCTCATTGCTCTGAACATCATAATCTCTTCCCAGTTTATGGGTGCTTCCCAACAATGAGTATATGCCATCAAAGCCAAATTTTGTTTTGCATGGTCCCTTGGTTAGGAATAATGTACTTTGAATTCTCACTCAAAATCCACACAGGCAAGCAAAAATAAATATTGAATGTATGGTAACAGAGAAGGTCATAGAATTTAGAGTTAGATTGACAGACTTCCCTTGGGAAATGAACTGAGAAAAATAAAACAGTTGGCATTTGTCCCTCTGTACATTTATCTTTATGTCTCTTTCTCTCCTGGAGACACAAAAAACAGAGATTTTTCTCAAGTTATTTTGGTGTGTGCACGTGTTCCATTCTACCACTATTCTAACCATTCTTCATCCTATGTGCCCTAAGGAGAAATTATCTATGTAGCAGGATTTCTTTTGGACCCCCAACCAGCTCCCAAATCATGACATGAAGACATTAATTATGAATGCTCAGTCTTAACTTATGCTTGTCCCACTAGCTCTTATAACTCAAATTAACCTGTTTCTCTTCATCTACATTTTGCTTTGGGGCTTTTTACCTTTCTTTCATTCTGTATGTCCTACTCCATGTCTGTCTGTCTGTCTGGCCCCAGGCCTTTTCCTCTCTTTCTTCCTCATTTTCTTCTTTCTCTCTCATTCTCTCTTTTCTCTCTTTTTGAGCCTTGATTCCTCCTTCTACTTATTCTTTCTGCCTGCCAGCCCTGCTTTTCCATCCTCTGCCTCATGATTGGCCATTCAGTTTTCTATTAGACCAATCAGGTGCCTTAGGCAGCAAAGCAACATATCTTTACATTGTTAAACAAATGCAGCATAAGGAAAAGTAACACATCTTTACATAGTTAAAGAAATATGCTATTCCACAACATATCTGCTTGACTTTTAGAGGACATAACCTCAGGTATAGGAAAATCTTCTAAGCAATTTCAACTTCCAGTCATCTTCATCCATGCAATGTAGTATAAAAACCAATTTTATGGATCTTGTGAGTTAAAGTGGCCATTCAGTCAGATAAGCGATGGCCATGGGAAAGTAGGATGTATGACTCCCATAGTACTGGCAGTCTACTTCTTCAGTTGTGGCTATGGGGAGCTGGTAGGAATCAAACTTAGCTGAAAAACCAGCAAATAATTTCCTGCATTCTTCATAGCCAATCATATGGCATAACCATATTTTGTTGATTATAAATCCTCAGGACATGTCCTGATAGCTGATTCATGGTTCTCACATACAAATGACAAGAACAATATATCTCAGTAAAAACAATTCTGGAGTGAAGAAGACTACATGAAAGTCTTCAGAAGAAAATGTTTACATCTGGAACTTGAAGGCCAAGTTTGAAGACCAACTCTTTCTAGGTTAGATGTTACTGTGTAAGTGGAGGGCTCCACAGTTCAGCTCCATCTGAGCTCTCAAGATGAAGTTATAGGTGTTATGACTTGGTTGCCCAATGGCTATAGTATTTAAAATTCAATCTCATTGGTCATGGCTCTTTCTTAACTTCATAAAAATACTAATTTTGTCAGCTACCAGATAGTCTTGAATGACTGTATTGTTCACTTTAAGTGTATTATGTGTAGTCTTTCACCCTGAGGACTTGTACCCCATCTTCTCGACACCTTCCATGGGTGGTGCAATTTCCCAACCCATTGATACTAGGCTTGTTCCCATGACTCACTTTGGTCAGTGGAACAGAAGCAGGCATGGCATTCTTATCCTTGAGAATGAGTTTTCAAGATCATTGGGGAGACTGACAGCATCTTCACCCACCTCTTGTTTACACTGTAAGGTGTACAGAGGAGAAAAGTTCTTCTATAATCAAGTGTTGGTTTGTTTTTTTTAAATAAATATTTCTGGTCATAGAGTGGCCGAAACAGGGAGCGAGTCATGCGAAGGAAAGGAGAAACTGTGTCTGAGTTTTTGACTGGAAGAGTTAGAATGCTTGCATGCACATCTTTCACTGTGATCCCCAACATCCACGTTAAGCATCAAACTGTTGAATTTCTGGGTGGAGAGTCACTGGGTAAATTACCAAGAGTGCTGGGTGGAGGGTATGTGTGTCTATAGACACTGGGTCCTCCGATTGCCAACCTAAGCCTCACCAGGAGCCACAGTGTTGAAAGAAGCAACAGGAGAGAGGCACGGCTTGATTTATTCTAGAACAATGCAATGACCCCACCTTTCTTCCGATGCCACACACACACGACACCAGCAAAGGCCTAAACAAGTGAAGTCATAGTTTAAACTGGGCTTGTCTTTGTACTAGCCACTGGCCATCTGGAGCACACAATAAAGGGAAATCCACTAGAAGGGAACTTCAGAAATATCCAAACACTGTAACTTGGATTTGGAAAGTTTAAAAGAGGATAGCAGAACCAGTTCCTACTTGGAGTGGAGTTTGTTTACTCTTCTGGTTAGAAACCAGATCCAATAACCCTAATGGTTTGGACCGGTTCTCAGGGCTCTTTTGTTTTTGTGCGATGGGGCACTCAGTCTTGGCCAATTTCTGCAAATGAGTTTTTACAGATAGAGCAGGCAGGTCTTTCTTCTCCAGTTTTAAGGACCTTCGGGATTAATGGGAAGTTATTCCTGGAGCCATAGCTTCCCTTAACGCTGCTTGGGGCCATAGGGAGAAAAGCCACTTACAGAGTCCCGGAGGCTGGGAAGGTAGGATGATTACCATACCTCAACATAGAGTAGAGGTGTGGGGGAAGGCATGGGGGTGAAGAAACAACAGAAGCAATGACATATTTTAGCATAAGCCCCGTGCTCTACTGGGGAGGAAGATACATACTCCAGTTTTAGCCAGGGCTTGCTTTTAAAAAGGTGGGGATAGAGTGAGTGGGAAGGAAAGGCAACAATTTAGCAGCATTTCAATAGCAACATTAGCAGCAGGAATAGTGTCCTTTTGCATCTCCCCCTATGCACAAAGTGGCACTGAATGCCTTCCCCAGTCTGAGCACAGTCCACCTTAGGTGGAGGGCCCTGCTCAAGATTTCATCCTTCAATGTGGTTGGCACCCGGAGAGCCTGAGGACTTAGGACACTGGCCGTCTCCTACTTGTGATGAGAAGATGCTGACCATGTCCCAAGTGTCTACACTTGGAAATAGAGCTGGGATTAAAAACCTCATCTTGGCATGGCTGCAAAGCCCAAGCCCCAGTCTTTGCCCAGACACAACAGAAGTCATGTACCCTCTGAGGCCAGATTCTTCACTGCCAAAACAAGAGTGGAATCGGTGGAGCAACGGAGCATTTCTTTCCATTATTACTCAAGCCTGAGATAGAGAACATTGCTGTGGTTGAAGCCAGTGTAGGATAGGAGCCAGGGCCCCGAGCTCTCTATCACTCTAAGGAGACCTGTGCTGTGTTGTAATACTGTCCTGCAAACCACCGTCTTCCCTAATGTCCATGGACAATACACTTCATCCAATTGATGTCCAGCTTGCTCCCATGACTTGCTTTGGCCAATGGACAGAAACAGATGTTCAGAATGAGTTTGAATGATCAAGACAGCTTGGAATCTAGCATTTCTGGGGTCTAAGGTGAAAACAGTATGTCCACGAAACAATGTTCTTCAGCCTGGAGAGAGAGAGAGAGAGAGAGAGAGAGAGAGAGAGAGAGAGAGAGAGAGAGAGAGATGATAATACATATATTGTACTCTTAGGCTTCTTAAACTGTAGACCCATGGATAAGAAATAAATGTTTGTTTTTGAAGTCACTGAGATTTGGGGGATGTTTGTTACACAGCTTTATTATAGCAAGGCCTGGCTAATGGGTAGCTCCAAAACATTATCAAAACCTATGTGTAGATATAATTTGTATAAGAAAGTAAGCATCCAAAACATTAAAAACAAGCACAACAATCCTAATAACCCTACACATGTTTCATTGATGGTGCTCATGCTAGGCAACTGAGTTGTTTTTGACACCTAGATGTCTAGTGTTGCTAGCTTACTCAATTGTTTTCCAGTCGGATATTCTAAAAACTAGACTACTCTGTAAGCTCTCTTAATTACTCAAGTGAAGTACTCTTTAAATAGGTTTCTCTGGTTAGTTTTTATCAATGGGACACTGTAGCTAGAGTTTTCCTGCCTTGCCCACAGTCAGGACAAATCTCTGTCACCCGCCAGTCCCACAGCCGCTCAGACCCAGCCAAGTAAACACAGAGACTTATATTGCTTACAAACTGTATGGCTGTGGCAGGCTTCTTGCTAACTGTTCTTATAGCTTAAATTAATACATTTCTATAAATCTGTACCTTGCCACGTGGCTTGTGGCTTACCAGCGTCTTCACATGCGGCTTGTCATAGTGGTGGCTGGCAGTTTCTCTGACTCAGCCTTCCACTTCCCAGAATTCTTCTCCTCCTTGTCCCACCTATACTTCCTCCTGCCTGGCCACTGGCCAATCAGTGTTTTATTTATTGACCAATCAGAGCAACAGATTTAACATACAGACCATCCCACAGCACTGGACACAAAGTGGGGTCACCTGGGAAGAGGAAACCTCAACTGAGGAATTGCCTCCATTGGATTGGCTTATGAGTGTATCTATGGGGCATTTTCTTGATTGATGGTTGTTGGGGAAGGGCCCAGGACACTGTGGTGGTACCACCCCTTGGTAACTGGTCCTGGAATGCAGAGGAAAGCAAACTGAATAAGCTGTGAGGAGTAAGTCAGTAAGCAACATTTCTCCATGGTTCTTGTTTCTGGTCCCTGCCCTGACATCCCTCAATAATCAAATGTGATCTGGATACATAAGCCAAATAAGCCCTTTTCTTCCTCAAGTTGCTTTTGATTATGGTGCTTATTACAGTAACAGAGAAGCAAGCTTCTCCCTCTTAAAACAAAACAAAACAAAACAAAAACCACAGCACCTGAATCTAGGTGCAAGATTATAATTATTGGCAAACAAACTTAGCCACTTCACCTTCTAAGTCCCAGCTCCTTCCTTCCCATTAGCCTCAACTCTTTATAGCCAAAATAATATTTACCACAGGTATGCACTGATTTCTTCATAAAGTGTCCAGGGCGAAGTAGAATGGGGAACCCCAGGGAACATGCAAAGTGGTAGATGCCTACACACTGATCCCTTTCCAGGGTGATGGTAGTATCTCAGCTACTGCAGCCAAGACCAACAGCTTTTAAAAGAGTGAGCTCAGTCATCGAGGAAAGATGGTCATATTTGTTCATCTTGAAGCAGCTTCACTTCAGCAAAGGTAGAATGGTTCATCCAGGCTTCAATGCCAAAAGGCTTCTGTTAGCCTCCCTCCGTGTGCTAAATTTTCTCCAGTTTGTTCCAGAAATTAGTCCCTGGTTGACAACTGAACAGACTAGGAAAGAATTTCTGTATTTTCCAGAACCATTGACTGAGCACCTTCTGGACAGACACAACAGTATGCTTAGTACCACAATAACTCCATGAGTACAACCAGACCCGTCAGAGTCATCGCTAAGTGGGTCAAAGACAATCTAGCTTAAAATCTGCAGAATTAATTTTTATACTGCATTATCATTGAAACAACAGAGAAAGGCACAGTTGGAGATCCTATGGCCTTGGTGGTTCTATGTGGGTCACAATTACACCCCTCACCTAGAGATGCCTCTTATAACAGCCCTTTCGAACCCGTAAAAATATAGACGCAGATAAAGAAGTTCACATAGATAAGTGTAGCCTTTTCAATTAACACTTGAATACTGACACTGTACTTAATATTCAAGTAGTGCTAGTGTGTTTCTCAAAAGTTAGTCTTTGAGCATACATTTGGTTTCTAACGGTTCCTTTGCTGATCTTTCCTGCCTCAGGCACTCTTCTCATCCTTTGAAGCACTGTTCAGAGGGAACCCAGTCCAAAAGCCATGGCAGCTCAGCACAGTGAACTCATTGCATTTTAAAAGAGGTCACCTATAGCCGTCCTCGCCTGTCTTACACCACAAACAAACCATGACCTTCTTTAGAGAAAAGATCAGGCCACAGTGTGGGCATTCCAATGATAATGACCATCAGAATAAGGATTAATTGAACACTTATCTCAGACTACATATAGTTCCAGAACCCTGACTAACTACAATTTCCAAAATATTCATTAATCTCTAGTTTTGCAAACAAAGCATAAGAAATCAAGATGACCTGCCAGACAGATTTCCGACTTCACAGAGTATGACTTATAACTCTAGGCCTTAATCTTATCAGGGATTCCTAACAAAGAATTCACAGGGAATCTAGGGGCAGAATTCAGAGGACACTTGTATAAGAATGAAAAGCCGGGCATCTTGTAGTGATTTCTAACTGAATTGGTGCATTTCCTTTGGTTAAGGAATGTAGAGGACAAACTGACTGTGACTTCATCATCAGTAAACACCACAGATGTATTTGCTTATCATGTGACAGTTGTGGTTGGACTGTCTCAATATGGTTTCTATCCTTCATTACATTATAATTGTGGAAGCTGTTATACCCACCACTAGAGGTTGTTGTTTCAAGCATCAATACGGAGCATGTCTTTTAGAAAAATGTATTATAATTCTATGTCAGTGGGTTGTTTTGTTTTGATAATATGTCTTTTTTGTTTTGTGCTTATAAACCATTATTCTCCTACAGCATGGGTAAAACTCAAATGTCATGTTAAAGGAAAGAACCCTGTCACAAAGGACCATGGCATTTATACCACTTCCTTGATGAAGCTTCTAGAACTAGCAAGTCTATAGAGATTAGCAACTGGCAATGGTTGTTAAAAGCAAGCATCGCAATATTCAGGAGCAGTCAGAGCTTCCCTGAACTTCTTATGGACCCACAGTAGGAAGCACAGGTGCACAGAAGCCACACTAGGGCTGTGCCCAATAAATACCTGGAAATGTTCTATTAAAAACTTTAAAAGCGCTGGGCTTTCATCTCAGCACAGAGGCAGGTGGATGCCTAAATTGGAGGCCAGCTTGGTCTGTAGAATCCAGGCCAGCCAGAGTCACACAGTGAGATCCTGTCTTTAAAAAAAAAAAATGTATATATATTTTAACATAACTACTCTTGTGAGTTTAAGAAAGTGAAATTTGATTATGAATTAAACTGACACAATGAAATTGTCAGGACAGGAAATGGATATAAAGGAAAATTTCCTGAAATCCATCAAGAAAAAAAAAATCAATCAGACAAGAACTTGCACTCTGGTCCCTGCTCCTCATCCTGGTGTCATGTTCCTTCCCAGAGTCCCCACAAAGCTGCTGCTCCTTAGGATATTCAAGAGCAGACAACAGGGACTAGCTTTCTGTTTGGGGCTAGTCTAGCCCACAAGATGTGGCAGTGCTGAGTGAGTGCAAGATAATCCTTTTCCATGCCCTTTTGGAACCATCACTTTTGCCAGTAATGAGGATGTGTGTGTGTGTGTGTGTGTGTGTGTGTGTGTGTGTGTGTGTGTGTGTGTGTTTGTTGTTTTGTGGACTGCTCTTTAGGTTAGTGGTCCACCTTGAAAGAAGATGTTTTCTTGGTGGCTTTATACCACATAAATACTCATGGAAGATCCTCCCTCCCTACCTCCATACCCTGCAATTCTCACTAACTTCAAAAAAGACTCTAACATAGATCCAGTCTGCCAGGAAGTCATTGACAATGACAACATCCTGTCCTCCTGTAGCCCACCATGTGCCCTTCAGTTGAGCTTTACTAGATACTTGGTGCCTTGACCATGGTCTTTTGCAATTTTGGGAACAGTGTGTGTGTGTGTGTGTGTGTGTGTGTGTGTGTGTGTGTGTGTGTGTGTGTGTGTGTCTTATGCACCTGCTACTGTACTGGGAAGAGGGCTTCCTTGGGCAAAGAAGGGCAGCTGGCCCTCAATGAACCAGGGATTTAATGAACACAGACACAATTTACAACCAGTGAAAAGTAGGGCTTGAACTTGGGACCTGTTTTCCTCACTTGTGGACTATTTATTCTGTGTTCCCAGGAGGACTGAACACCAAGTATCTAGTCAGTAGTGTGCTCATTAGCACACTGTCTATCACCTTTCCTCCATCCCTTGACTTACTGCACACCCCCTCATGCAAACTTGTTGAAATCATCTCCAAAACCAACTTCTTTAGACACAAATTCTTGCCTCCAGGTTTGATCTCGAGAAACATCAATTTAAGTAAATGTGCATGAGATACGTATACCTAGACCCAAGTAAAACAGATCTTTAACTGTGGGGTATAATAGCACCAAGCCCCCATTACCACTGGGATGTATGCTCCATAGTCCATTAATTCTGTCAGTGTTCAGACATTTGGGGACACCTGTTTGTTAACTATGAATGTATGCTGAGCTCTCCAGTGACATCACTTTTTCAGCTGGTGAGCATTAAACACACAGTTTTAAATTGCCCAACGTTAGTCTAGGCCAAGTCTAAAACACAGGGCTGATGGGTAGGTAGTAGAACTCTTCTTTCCTCTTATAAATCAAAAGTGGTTCAAAGGGGAATAAATAGTTAACCAACCTTGATCAAACCATGATCTTCTGGTTGGTTATTGTTCTGTTCTTGTGTAGTTCTTGTTCTGCAAGTTGGCTCCAGAGAAGTTGTCCTCACTGTCAGTACAGGCAAGGGCCGTTTAGTAGCCACAAGAGGATTGTTCCTGCTTGGATGCCTCATCCAGCATGGCTCCAGGGACAGACCTGAAAGGGACAGGAGGCAATGATGAAATGACATGGACACAGGGACACAGACAGAAAAGCTGGAATCAGGTGGGCTGAGCTCTCTGATAGAGAGAACACAGTACCCCAGAAACTCAATGTGTTTATTCTATAGAGTTGAACAGGGAGGTATGTTTATGGTATACAACTGAATCTAGGTGGCAGGTTTACCTAACCTCAGTAGGAGCACTCTCTAGAAGTATGATCTTTAGGCCATACACATCTGGGAGGAGAAAGCTATGACAGATATTTCTGCAAGTGCCATTAACAAATATTATTAACTCAGACCCCTGAAGAAGGCTTTACCATCCCTCTGAGCCTCACCTGGGGAAGGCTTCACCACTCTCATGGGGTTGAGGCAAAGGAGTCCTTGACATTGCCATGCCCAGGTCAACAGCACACACTCACTAGGAACTTCATTCATTCACATTTGGGATGGAGGGAAGAAACGCCTTCAGTTCCCCCTTGTGGAGTAGTTGTTCCTGCTTAGAGGGCCAATCTCAGCATCAGGTGACCTGGCTCCCAGGGTGCACTGCTCCTGAAGGACAAGGTGGGCACAGGTCTAGGACAAGGACTGGAGACTTCCAGGTGCCACTCTGGGTATCTGAAACAGGATGTTGTAGAACATCATACCCTGGTTACCCTCATCCTCGTGCCTTCTACTCTAGATGGATGAGGCAGGCTAAC